AGTAGTCATGTAGTAGTCATGTAGTAGTCATGTAGTAGTCATGTAGTAGTCATGTAGTAGTCATGTAGTAGTCATGTAGTAGTCATGTAGTAGTCATGTAGATGCATTATTACCTGTAGTTGCAGTATATGATATATACGTATATTATGTGAAGTGGTGTTGACAATGTGATTTACTCCTGGTGTGACACATTATACATTATTGTGTGTGATACATTATGTACTGGTTACACAATCGGGGAGCGTCAACCCATTGTAAATTATGAGACGTGGTTACTAGGGCTGTAACGATACACAAGCCTCTCGATTCGATCCGGTTCTCGATATTAGCTTCTCGATTCGATTCCTTCGATTCGATTCCCAAAATATTGTTTTTTTTTTAAATCCTATTTTTTATATTTTCATTATTTTGCAATAATAAATTATTAGAAATTGCCAATGAATACTAAATGGTGAATAGACTAGAGAGTCTAGAGAGTATATATACGCTGCACAGTCGCTGAGTAACATTGGTGAGTAACACCAGAGCATAGAAATCAGTGATTTATATGCTCTGGTAACACTCCACAGTATATAGCATAGTGCCGCCATCTATTGGAGGAAAAAAGTGGTATCGAAGTGGAATCGAAAATACGGGGAAAAATATCGAGGATCGGATCGAGGGAAGAGAATCTCGATCCGATTCGATTTCGGTGGATCGTTACAGCCCTAGTGGTTACACAATCGGAGAGCGTCAACCCATTGTAAATGTCTGATTGCTCCCTTCGTAGGTGGAGCAGGGCCACAGCCCCACCGAGTGCTTTCTTCGCTACCTCTACTTGCCGGAAGACGACGACATTCCCATAGATCTGAGACAGTGTGCAGTCATCATCATGTGCCATCTAGACAGACTGTCCAAGCCATTTCTCCCCCTCACCAGTTCACTGAAGGTACGCATAGCAGGGAAGAAAACCTGCAGTAATCTGCAGTAACATTTTCGGGGGTGCCGTGATGTTGGCTTGATCGAATTGAAATTTTATGATATTTGTCTGTGGCGCATTGTAACACTGATTTAATTTCTCGTGTGTTGTATTCTATGTCTATATTTTGCTTCCCCCTTATATTTCTGTGTTTTCCTCCAATGTTTTTTTTCGCTTTGTGGTTTTGAAAGACGTTCACATTGATCACGACTAGAAGAGAATCATATCTGTCATCCTGGTTGTATTCTGTTTCTATATTTTGCTTCATTTCTGTGTTGAATTGGCCATGGTGGTGTTTTTTTGCCTCAAGCTTATGAAAGACATTAAATCTTCGAATCATATCTGATGTCGTGGTTGTCCTCTGTTTCTTCATTTCTGTGTTTGGCCAATGATGATATTTTTCTTTCATGCTTTTGAAACACGTTTACATCAAGCTCGGCGTGACAAGAGAATCTGATGATGCCGTTGTTGTTGCTTGTGTTACAGAAGGGGACTAGTCTGACACAGGAGGTGTTGTGCTGGGGCACGACAGACTGGGTGCGCGGCGGCGGTGGCAGCGGCAGCGGCAGCGGCGGCCAGGCCAGCAGTCCCATGAAGAAACCGCTAGCATGTGAATCCCTCGCGGAGTATGGAGTAGAACAGATCTGCGCGTCGGAAACGTCTTTCCTCCTGCTGTGCCACACTGGCAAGGTCTACACTGTACCGTACAAGACAGACACACACTCCATCGTAAGATGTAGTTACTATTAGTAATTAGTAGTCTACACTGTACCGTACAAGACAGACACACACTCCATCGTAAGATGTAGTTACTATTAGTAATTAGTAGTCTACACTGTACCGTACAAGACAGACACACACTCCATCGTAAGATGTAGTTACTATTAGTAATTAGTAGTCTACACTGTACCATACAAGACAGACACACACTCCATTGTAAGATGTAGTTACTTGTAGTATCTGCTATAGTTTATAATTAATTAACTGAGCAGTAATGAACTAAACTAACAAGCTAACTGTATACAGACTTGACACTCGCGGTCCATTTCCAGGTTCTTTTACGATATCTAACCTCAATATACCGCCGGTCTCGATGCCATCTTGAACTTTGACAATCTACCTGTGGCGAGGAGAAAATCACAACATCACGTATTCTTTCGCCATCACGTTTTGTGTACCTAGTATTTTTTATTCGTGCTCGTCATTTTTCCCAAATGTGAATGAAAAACAAAATGACATTTTAAAAAGCAGCGCAGTAGACGCACGATAGTGACGTTAGCTTGACGTGCGTGCGTGTTCACTCAAGTGTTATGCGTGTGTGTTTGCAGACGGTGCGTGCGGTCGAGGGGCTCATGGACAAACACGTGGAGAAAGTTGCCGCTCACTACGAGAGCAAACAGTTCCTCGCTCTCACGTCCAGTGGGGAGGTCTACGGCTGGGGACACCCCGACCCCACGATGTCCAAGCTCATGCAAGTAGATCCCAGGTGAGAGCAGCGCGGCAGCGTGTCATGATCAGTTGCTCGTTCACTTGTCACAGCATGTCGGCTGCTCGTTAAAAAAACGACAGAGAAAGTGAGAGAGAGCGTTTTTATGTTGTGATGAAAGAGTGAAATCTATTTTTCGTGAAATGTTCACTAACTTTTAATTATACCCTTTGTGGTTTGCTTTAATTTTATTGGTTGCTGGTAAAAAATAGCAGCGAGAGATGCCACGGCTTTTTTATTTCGTGATGGAAGAGATTAATGTTTGTAGACGTGCACTACATTCTTAGTAGCGATAAATACATACTAAGATATTCTTTGTAGTTTATCATCTAATGTGTTAAATGCAATTCTTGCCTCATTTTTTCGAAAAAATAATCTCAAATATGAGTATGCTGCTTAATCCAAGTTGCATCGTGCACTTGAAATGATAATTATATGTAAAAAAACACGTGCAATGAGAAACACGTTGATTCCATTTGAAATGCAGAAATATATAATAGGTAACGCATAAACACGAAATTGACGCATTTTTCACGTCGCCCGTCATCAACTCGGGTCAACATTAACAACTATTATGTGACGTAATTTTCAGCCAATCAGAGCATCCCGTGCTCGTCGCAGGACTGGACGGCAAGGTGATCGTGGATATCCGCCAGGGGGCGTCGTACTCGGCTGTGATAACGGCGGGCGGGGAGCTGTACACGTGGGGTCGCGGTAACTACGGACGCCTCGGTCACGGTACGTATCTCACACACACGCGCAGCCACACGCCAAGCCGCCACACTGCCTGCTGTGACAGCGCGCTCGGTCATCTGTAGGCTCTCACCACACGCAGCACTCGCTGCCTGTCACGCGCGCTCATCATCTTAGCTGTCACACCACACAGCGCAGCCAACTGCTGGCTGCACGCGCGCATCGCTCATCTGTAGCTGTCACACACGCAGCCACACTGCGCTGTCACGCCGCTGTCATCTGTAACTGTCACAACACCAGACCAGCACTCGCTGCTGTACACACTCGTCATCTGTACTGTCGCAACCCCAGCGCGAGCCACACTGCTCGCTGCACTGCTCGCTCATCTTGTAGCTGTCACCCACGCTCAGTCCACACTGCTGCGTCACCGCGCTCGGTCATCCGTAACTGTCAAGAAACGCGCACCCACTGCTGCGTCCACGCGCCACCTCAGGTCATCTGTAGCCTGGTCACACACACGCAGCACGACTGCTGCTGTCGACGCGCGCATCGTCATTGTACGTCACACGCCGCAGCCACCTGCCGCCCGCACTACTGCTGCTCGTCACCGCGCGCTCGGTCCATACTTAGCTGTCACAAACACCAGCCACACGCTGCGTCAGCGCCCCGACATAACTTGCTGTCACACACGCGCGCAGCCACACGTGCGCTGCCGCGCGTCGTCATCTGTAGCTGTCAAGCACGCAGTCTCACTAAATGCGTCACGCGCGCTCGTCATCGTACTGTCACAAGAAACGCACCACACTGCTGCTGTCACGCCCCTCGTCATCTTCCAGCTGTCCACAGCACAACCGCAGCCACACTGCTGCTGTCACGCGCTGCGTCGGTCATCTGTAAGCTGTCACAACCACAGCAGCGCACACTGCTGCTGTCCACCGCGCCTCCGTCATCTGTACGCGTCCAGACACACACACAGCCACAACTGCTGCTGTCACAGCGCAGGCTCGTCATCTGTAGCTGTCACACGCGCGCAGCCACTGCTGCTGTCACCGCACGCTCGGCGTCATCTGAAGCTGTCACACACAGCAGCCCACTGCGGCTGTCCACGTGCGCCTCGGCTCATCTGTAGCTGTCACACACGCGCAGTCCCCACTGCTGCTGCCGACAGCATCGAAGCCGGCGCCGCCGCGCACATTCTGTATCGTGTTGTAAAACACCAGGTTGTTTGATTGTTGTTAGGCAGTTGTAACACTAACTCTTATTCATCTGTTTACTGTTTTAGCAGTTATTTGCTATTTCAGTTCAACAAATTTATTTATTTATTACAATTACTAATGTATATATATATATATTATGTATAATAGTATATATATATTGTGTATATTAAATAATATATAATATTAATATATATATATAATATATGATATATATATATAAATAAGAATATTATAATATTATTCTGAGATGGATTACTGTTTTATGACGTGTTGTCCGTGATAAAGCTGTGTTTAGAGCATGATATGGCTTTCCAGTGCTACCAACGTTGCGTGCGTGTGTGCATGTGTACGTGCATGATGTGTGTGGATTCATCTGGTAGTACTGGTGTTTGCTGTTTCAGGTACGAGTGAGGATGAGATTGTTAGCCTGGGTGGTGACGGGTCTGAAGGACATCGGTGTAGATGTAGCGTGTGTACGCGGATGCGCACACGCTGGCCGTCAACTGATCGGTACTCACCGTACCCTCTACCCCGACCTAACCACCTACACACCGCCGCCGGCCCGCAGGCCCACCGACCCTCTACCCGCACCACACCCGACACCGCACTCTAACACCACCCTCTACACCCACCTCAACGCCCTTCCCAAGCTCAATATCAATACAGTGCTCTCCGCTTTATCAGGCCACATTGCTTAAACGCACGCACAGATAGTCTATGAAAGACAATCCTAACACAATGTTGGTGGCTCGTTAACCGCTTAATTGGGATGTTTTCATGGTTCCCGACGTGTCCTAATAAAACAAGGACTCATGTCCATTTCTCTACAAGGCTTTACTTAGGTTAAATAGAGAATGCTATTAATCTTTCATTATAGCGTGCAATGTATAATTCTATTTAATTAATGTCCATCTAAGTGTGATTTACAGTGCAGTATCATGTGGATTAATATATGTGATAACATAAATACTCACTAATATATATATAATAAATAACAATGAACATACTTAACGCATAAACCCGTGATGTGTGATGTGTGATGTGTGTTCTAGGCGCTGTATACTCGTGGGGAGATGGAGATTATGGGAAGCTGGGAAGAGGAGGCAGTGACGGATGTAAGACACCAAAGCTTGTGGACAAGCTACAGGGAGTGGACATCATCAGAGCTTACTGTGGTCCCCAGTTCAGCATTGCTCTGTCCATCACAGGAGAGATATACACGTGGTGAGTGTGTGTGTGTGCAGTACATGTCAGTGTGTGGGGGCCGCGTCGGTATTTTATGCAGAAGTAGAACTGGGTTATTTTATTCCGTGCAGTCATAAGTGCGCTATAGTGTATAAGTGTAGTAAGTTCTCTATATTTCTGTATACATGTATTCATAATATGATATATATAGTGAACAAATCTTCCAGCCTATCAGCGGAAAACCAAATTTAATGATAATCCAGTATTAATAATTTAATAATTAAATGCCCCCAGACATTAGTGGCGAATTTAATGGCCATTTGGGCCGCCATAGTCGAATGCTTTTGGTGTAAACTGCAGCGTATTAATTTATTATATATTGTTTTTCGCAGTTTTTTGGAGGGGAGACTGAGGGTGATATTTTGTGTTGCAGGGGTAAGGGAGACAACCACAGGCTGGGGCACGGATCGGAGGAACACGTGCGATACCCACACGTCGTCGAGGCCCTGAGTGGCAAGAAAGTTGTTTACGTCAGTGTTGGTTCCATGCACTGTGTAGCCGTGATCAACAAGGTGTGTTACACGTGACGGGTCGATCATGGGAAAAACTTCCAGTTCCACTTTATAAATGGCTCAGTGGGCGTGTAGCGGTGTTGTGATCTAGCATAAATATAAATGGATATTTCCAAAATCTAATTTTAGCAAATTTTACGTGTGGCAATGTGACACTTTACGACGGTTTACGTGTTCGAAATTACCTACTTATTGATGTCTACACTAATTTTTGGTACGTAATGCTCTGTGTCTCTGAGTGAAGTTATTTCAAGGCAGCATGTCATTAAAAAAAACATTAATTGTGATTGCTAAAAAAGTAAAACCATAATTAGTGTTTGCTCTCTGCTGCTTCCAGGGAGAGGTGTACAGCTGGGGTAGGAACGATCAGATGCAGCAGGGAGACGACCAGTTGCTATGGAAACCAGAACCTAGCCTGCTGTACGTGAGCGATGGCAAGCAGGTGACAGGAGCCGTGTGTGGCCAATCACAGGTACGGTGTCTGCACACCTGTTTATGTTCATGTAGATTATGTAGCCAATCACAGGTACGGTGTCCGCACACCTGTTTATGTTCATGTAGATTATGTAACCAATCACAGGTACGGTGTCCGCACACCTGTTTATGTTCATGTAGAATTTACCTAATCTACGTGT